TCCTATGTAGTTCGTGCTTTCCAGTCAGAAGACAGAGCTGGGTCCTACTCCCCTGCCCTTCCCTAGAAAGTTCAAGCACACAAGGCCACTACAGCACAAATCTCTTGAACCACGGGCTTTTGTCGGCCGCAGAAATACAAGATCCAGAACACTTCAGAAACCTGCTGGAAATAACCATTGTGTTAAATCTTCTCTTCTCTTGAAGGATAAAAAATGGCCAATGTCCACCTGCCTCAGGGAGAATTTGAAAGCCCTAGGCATCTTAATAGCCTTCAACTGAAATATTCCCCAGTCCTCAGCAACAACACTTTCAGAAGACATAAGCCAATTTCCCCTATCTGTGGCTTCATTTTCCCTGGGACAGTGAAGATATTCCAGTTTCCATTTTCTGTTCTTCAGCTCCCATGAATAGCATAATGACTAAAAGATGCTCTCTTCAGAAAACAGCTGCTCTATTTACCGCTACCTCCAGAAGGATCAGGAAATAAACCATCCTCTCTTCTGCGTAGCTTCTGTGCACCAAGGCATTTAGTAATGCCACTGTGGTTCAAGGAAACTCAGGGAAAAGGAGCCAGTTGGTACATTTGCTGTTCTCAGAAAACCTGAGGTTGATGCCAGTATATAGCCTGGCACTAAGTTCAATGCCAGAACTGAGCTCCATGCGAGGACATGACCCCGTGGCACAGCCTCTGGTACCAGTTTTCATCACACCATGCCCAGAGTCAGCCCTGGCTTTAATCTAGGGCTAAATCACAGCAGCTGAACATGGAAATCTGTATGGTTTCTCTATGAATGAAACTCCCAGATCCCTCTAGTTCTCATTGCATTTATTTGCTTGTATCACTGTTTCTTGAATGACACTGTTCCTAATTACAAATTCTTGGAAGAGATTTAAGCACGGAAGTTGTCTTCAGTTTTCTCAGAGGGAACAGGAGGTCAAAACAACTATTCTTATCGCACTGTATCTTCCCTTTCCATCATGACCACCAGTACACCATATACACTGTGAGATTTTTTTGTTGTTTTCCATTATTACACAAAGTATTTCAATTACATTTTCTCAATAAATTAGACAGTGTGATTTCCCATATTATTGCAAATGTGTATTTCTTACAGAACTGCCCCAACACTGAACAGTACTGTAGGATGTGAAAACATAGTATGACAACATACTCAGCATGCTGTAATTAGATGAATAAGTTACAATGAAGATGATCTCTAAAAAAAGCATACCACTTGACATTGACTATATATATATATATATATCTCCACTCTCCTGAATGACCCTGTGTCAGCAAGTCATAAGTATCAAGTAACTTAAAGCAATTCAAAACCAACAAACCCAACGTACCAAATTAGATTCAAATCACATTATTGGCACTGGGCCTGAGCCACAAATTTAGATCCAGTTCTGAATTTTCCCAAGGTTCACAGAAATAGGCAAAAGGGACATCTGAATTCAGAGTCCAGACTAGATACAGTTTTTGTTCATACAACAAACAGTAAGAGAGCCCTAAAATCCTCAGAAACAAAGCAGTAAAGACTAAATCCAAAATGGCACATTGGGCAGTCAGATCAATAAAAGCAACTAGCAGAAGTTCTACAATGTGGATGAGTTACTCAGCAAGAATGTGTAGATGTGGCTAAAAATCTCATAACAGAATTTATGGTACTTCATTGCATCAACAACTAAGATGGCATTGCACCATCTAGCACCGAGGAACCTGAACCCATGGGGGATATCCAAGGTAAACATTTCCCACAGCAGTGCCACGGGGAAATGGGGCTCAGTTCAGTCTGCGGGCATGCCACACACACAAAACAGAACTGAGTGCAACCCAGGATACAGCAAGCTGCTCCATCCAGATACAGATGTAACAAAAGATGTGCGCACAGACAGAAGTCGGGGGGGGGGGGGGGCAAAATGAGGAGGAGGAAGTTGGAATTAGTCAACTAATTCCAAATGAAAAAAGGATTGAAGACACCTTTCTTGTCAGTTTTCTCTGTCAACTGGTTTAGGTGCTCCACCTCATCCAAATGCTTGCTGCACTCAGGGCAGTAAAGCCCATCCTGGCCAGTGTTCATGGAACTTGATCACCTAACAAACCCAACATATGAAATCAAGAGTTGTACTTCAAGAAAACTGGGCTAAATGAATGGTGCCCTTTGCAGTCAAGCTATAACATTTGTTGGTTACAAAATAAAACTATCAACAACATACAGCAACAGGTCAGGATGTCAAAGCATTTTTCTTTTGAGTTTTAAATGTTTTTCTTAATAATTGTTTATAATATTTAACTTACAATGACTTGCAATGCACAAGTTATTTTAACTACAAAAATACCATTGTCACTACAAATTTCAACTGGGTAATGGTGAAATCTGACACCCACTGAAGTGAGCTGGTACTAACTTCACTCTCTCAAGTACATCCCACAGCAGTACATTGTCTATGAGATGTACAAACCAGTGATTTGAAAGCAGCAAGTTGGCAGCACTGTTCAGAGAATAAGTGAGTGTTCATCCCAGGCAAAAGATGATAACTTAAAAACTGATGAAAGAAAACTAGCACTGATCATTTGAACTCACTGGCAGAAAGGCCACAAGATTTCAGGAATGATTCAGACATCAGCATTACTATGTATTTGAGCTATAAACTCTTAAACCTACTCCAAGATATTTTGCTTTAGACACCATCAAGATACTAAATGAAACATCAATCCATTAGCTCACTAATTTTCAAAGTAATTAAACAATGAAGACCCAAATGTGTCAACATGAACTGACACCTGAATTTCAACCTATGCTCTGCTTTGACGGCCGCATTCCTCTGGGATCACAAAGTTTGTCCTGATCTCTGGGAGAAATGGAGCAAAATCTTCTATAGACCAGGTGAATACAGTCTTGAGGAAAAGCTACAGAAAGAATATCCCCACCTCCAAAAAAGAAAATGGAAAAAGCCTGTGCTTAAAAAGCAACACAACTAATTAGCTCTACAAAATCACATACACAAAGATGTAATGCCAAACACAGAAAGCAACTGCAAGTGCACACAAAGAACTAAGCTTTCAATGTAACTAGTAAAGGTAAACAAGTCTAATCAAGCTTTTCTTTTTTTTTTTTTTTTTCCTCTCCTTTTTAGAAGGCCAAGAGGCCAACCAAGGCACTCTGGAAGAGGCCCTGGTTCTGCAAACACAAAGGTAACTGTAACCATATAAGCAGATTCCAATGAGCCTGCCCACATCATTACAACTGCAGAAACAAAACGCTTGCAGGAATCAGAACCTCAGATCAAGTCACTGGGCCAGGACTCTTGCCTTTAGCAGAGTAGCTATCTTTCAAGAGCCAGGTTTACAGCACCTCTAGATAATCAGGCCATCTTTCAACCAAAGTCTGCAAGCCCAGTTTCCAAACAATCAAACTTGATAAACACACTGCACACTGAAACACAGGGCAGGAGTTAAACACATAGAAGTGGCCATGGATTGTAGGTGGTTCCTAAGACACTAAATGGGGAAAGGAAGGGGATAAGGGTAGTAGGGGGTGGTTCGGTATTAAAAGCAAAGTAAACACAAAGCACAGTGTAATACCCTTGAAAATCAGGCTGAATTAACTGTAAATCCAGATTTTAAACTATCTCTTTATTTACTTCATTAGGTGTCGGAATCCTTCCTGCCCTTCTTTTAATTAGCTCTGACTCCCAAAAAAAAATAGCCTCCCTTGAAAACAATGGGACCAGTCTCTGAATTGGGGACAACTGAGCACATGAAAACAGAATTGACCCAGCACACCAAGAGCTTCCAAAGGTTTTGCGCGCCAGGCAGAGCTCTGTTCGCTGGATGCTGTATCCTTGGCAACTATTATGCAAGAAACCCTTCTACAAATGCAAAACTTCTGTCTGCTCCAAGAGCTTTTCTCTGAAATACTTTTATGGGGGTTTGGATATCCTTAAATCTAAGGGCACACACAGCTCTTTGTCATCTTCCCGCAAGCTCCCAAGAGCAAGATAGAATACAACAAATGATGTCAAGAGAGTATTTTCTTCCCACTTCATCAGACAGCAAATAAAAGTTTTACAACTTTAACTTTGTTTTCTTCTGGGAAGAAAAAATAAGTGGACATTTTCCTTTTTTTCTTTGGTGCACTCTGCAGAACTAATGTGCAGATGCAAGATAATAATGAAAGGACATTATTATTATGTCAATCAATGGCACTGCTTTCAAAACTGAAAACTCAAGGATCATGCCCGGGTGCCTGACTTCAAGGGCAGAACTGCAGATGCCAGCACATGTATTAGAAGAAGTATGCAAGAAGAGATAGTCAAGATTCGTCAAAGGCCATGGCAGTAACATGCTGCAGTTCTTGGCAGGAGGCACTAGTAGCACCAATTGTTTCAAGGGCAGCAGACACGCTGCTGTTTTTACCAAAGCCCTAGCTGTAGCTGCGGAGCTCATTAAACCTCACCACAGCAGAGATCGGATCCTGCCTGCGCACCCGTGCTCCTCACATCTCGGCTGTCCTCAAACAACACGTTATTCCTGAGTATCCCCAGATATTCAGACATCGCTACCGAGGGACACTCATGTAGCATTTAATACCCAACGAGGGCTTTGGTTTGGTGAGCCTTCTTTTCTCCTGAGCAAAACCGTACAGCAGCTACAGCTAACCAGAGGTGGTAGCTGCCCCTGAAGGCGTTTGGGAACGCAGGAGCGCAGCGGTGGGAGCCCCCCCTTGGCGTCCCCCCCGGGACTTAGGAGAATACTTATACTGCCGGACCGAGGGATAGCGCCGGTGGGGCAGAAGCCAGTGGGACACGGGGACCGGCAGGGCAGCCCCTCTGCCGGGAGCCCTTCCCGCGCAGCCCCCTCGGGCTGCGAGCCCCGGCTGCCTCCGCGCAAGGTCCGAGGCCGTTCTCACCGCCACCGGGCTCCGGCGACTAAGCCGCTGCCCTTCGCCCGATGCCCCCCACACACACCCCCTTCTCTCCCCTCCCGCGGTACCTTCTGCGGGGCGCGGAGGAGGCGGTGCACCCCGGCCAGCTGTGTGGCGAGCGGGATGTCCTCCCGGAACGTGTACAGCGGAGGCCGGGTGGGCTCGGGGAAGTTGGTGCTATTGAAGGGGTCTGTGTCATCCAGCAGCTGTACCCGGCACACCAGCGTGGCCATGGCGCATCCATCCACCGCCGCGGCGGCGGCGCGGACGGCGGGACCGGCACCCCCAAGTCACCGACACCGAGGTGCTGCCCACCGCCGGCTGCAAGCGGCACTCGTTCCCTTCCAGCCGCAGCAGCAGCAGCCTGGCTGGCCCGCCGGCCGGCAGCCTATCGGCTCCCGAGCGAGCGCCAGCCGCCTCACAGCCGCCGAACCTCAGGGAGACGGCCCATAGCCCCCTTCCCCGCTGGGATCCAAGAGTGCGGGCACGCTTCAGGCCGAAGAAGGAGCAGGCGGTGCCGGAGCCGCTGGGCGCGGGCAGAACAGCGGCGGCAGCAGCAGCAGCAACTCCTCCATGCCCAGCCGCTGCGCGCCGAGCGGGCAGCGGGACTGCCGCCGCAGGCACACGCACACCGGCAGCACCGGGCGGAGGCCGCCAGTGCCCCCTCCCGGCCACAGGCGGCGGCGCCGCCCCCAGGGGCGCCCAGGCGGCTCCCATCTCCTCCCGGCCTGAGGAGACCTCCCATCACCGGACAGGAAGGATGATCCTCCCGGAATGCTCAGCAGGCCGGACCGTTAACCTCTCCTGCAGCGGCAGGGGAGAGGGAGGGAAGGAGCGTCCCCGAGCAGCGCCTCTCCCTTTCCCTCGGAGGGCTGAGATGTTCGCTTTAGGGCTGAATAACGGCTGCTGGGGGGAGAGGGGCTGCTGGGATCAGCGCACAGAGGGGATGCGCAGGGTCACTCCCCTCCTTTAGAAGTATGCTTGTACCTTGCTGTCACAGACACCTCAAGTGTCCTAAATCTTTAGTGTAATATTTACACAGTTTCAAAAAGCAGCTTAAAAAAAAAAAAATGTTTAGAAGCTGACGTGAAACCTGGGCATTCCACCAGGATTATTAGGTGGGTTTCTCTGTATTTGTACAAAACCCTCTTTGCCATTATGGTTGCATGAACCCAGAGTCCTTTTGGCTTCCCAGCACTTTGGGCCTAGATGGAATCTCTGCGCTGGGCAGGACACACCAGAAGCTGCCAGGTCTCACACTCTGCTGTCCTTTTGCCTTAGGCCTGCTCTCTCCTCACGGGAAGATGTGGATGAAGGCACGGGGCAGGCATAGACCTCAGCATTGCACTGTCCGAGTTGAATATGCACTGTGCTGCCAGGTCTGCAACCCCACCCGTGGGAATCAGGGGTGCACGTGCCCTAGGGCACCCTTAGGGGAGTGGGGTGTAGAAGAGGGACCATGAAATAAGTTACAGGTGAAATACAGAGAATGAAGGGTCTCACTGTTCTGGGGGAATGGCTGCATTTCCACACGCTGAGCATCTACCTACCTAGGAGCATGTGCCATACTTTACAGGGTTTATGATTGCCTATCCTTTGATCCTTCACAGAGAGGGCTGTGGGACAGGAGCACTGTGAGAAACAGGGGATTTATCACAGATATGTGTCTTAAGCAAGAAAGCATGACCTCTAGATCATAGTGTTGGCATGAAGCAACTGTTTCCTCCCAAAATGATTACTGGTTTGGGAGTATTGGTCAGCGCTGGGAGAAAAAGGGGATTTCTGTCCACACGTGATCTGTCCTTCTGTTTCTGTTATTCTGGGGACTAATTTGTCATTATTCAGTTTGGCCAGCAGTTAGGCATATTTTCAGAAAAGAGCATCTATCATAAAGACAGCTTCAGAGTTTCAAGATCCATCTTGACTTTAGCAGTCTTGCCATTTCAGACATTTCACTGCCAATGTATTATCCACTTCTTTCTTCTTTTACCTCAGCTTCGACAAAAAAAAAAAAAAGGGGCCTATGGGTTGTGTCACATCATTTCTCAGCAGCACTCCCTCTCCCTTTCCTTCTTCTCTCCTTTCCCTTTCCCTCTTATTTTTCTTTTCTTTCTCCGCTCTCCTTCTACCTCTCCATTTCCCTCTTCTCACCTTTCTCTTACAAATTTTCATTTATTCAGTGCAGCAGCTAAAACAAGGCAATCGGGCAACTTGCCTCCTTGCTGTCCCCCTGCAGCCTTTTAAGTGAACATTGATGGCTTTCTAAAGACCTTAACACACAGTAAAATTCAAGCAAACAGCAAGATACTGCCTGTCAGAGGTATGTGGCATGAGGCACTATGGGCATTGCATCTGGAAAGACAATCAGATACATCACAAGAACAGTATGTGTGGTTGTCCTACCCCATTCCTCCTCACAGGTATTCACTCCTTCTCCGAGTGAGAGAGAGCATTTTCCTCAGTCACACAGAACAAAATCAGCATTCAGGAGCTCTGGGAATCCAGGCTGTTGTCCTTCTGCCTTCAGTCGTATCATGGAGTAGCGAGTCCCCCTCCTGGAGTAGGCAACTGAGATGGGCTGTGTTACTTACTGACCTTGGGATCCTTAAGTCCATCCCACAAGCGCTTTCCAAAATTCAAAGCCTGTACACGATCAAGTAAAGTTCACAGTTTTAAGCTCCTAAGTTCATTCTACAAAAAAAAAAAAAAAAGGGGGGGGGGGAAATCCTTCACATGCACACATTTTTCAGGAATGAAACATAACTTAGGAGTTTTCAATTAGGGTTGATTTATTCTTCTTAACTCATCCCAATATTGGCATTACTTAAAAATACATTGTTGAAGGAGTTCAGATGCTGTGTCAAGCTTAAATTTGAATTTCATTATTGTTGAAACCTGAATGTTGAAATAACATAGTTTTTTGTCTTTAATTTCCCCTTTTTTATTAAAAATAAAAATTTATTTTTGATGGAAAGTTATTGAAAGCATATTCTCTAACCCAAGGACCACCCAGACACAATGTAAATATGTATTTAAGCAGTTTTAAAAAATGATACTATGTACTGGAGCAATTGGAATAGCTCCACAGGATTATTAGTTTTTTCCTGTATAACATCATGTCAATACAAATCTAGATGCATGATCATAAGATTACAGTGTAAGCATGTGAAGTGGCCCATCCTTTATCTTCTTTATCCCTCTCTGTCAGACAACTTGAAGTGCTTTCCAAATTTCATTCTTTCAACTTCAAGCCAATTTTAGTTATGGGAGAACAAAAGCAATTTTACCTTCCATGATTTATTTATTTAACATTAATAAAGCTGGAAAATAGCAGTCTGTTGGTAACAGTAATCAAAATGGGCTTGCAAACCACTGGAATTAAAGCATGGTAAGGAAAGTGCTGACAGATCCTTTACTGTAGTGATGGGAACAGTATTTCTGCCTTATCCACACTATAACCTGTAAATAACGTTTCATTCTCATAGTGAAGTGTGGAGCGTGATTTATCTTCATTGTTAGCGTGGACAGGCAAATAACCTAACACACTTCTCAAAATAATGGTGTGCAAGTGAAATCCAGTCTGTCATGAGACCAAGAATAACAATGTGGATTTCAGCCTCTTTCATCCAAGGATCTCAAAGCTCTTTGCTGCCGTTAAATATTGCCTACTTATTCCTGCCCCACAGATGGGGAAACTGAGGAACTGGCAGATCAAGAATACAACTCTAATATGATACTTTTGTTTACAAAAATGGTTTTCTACTGTATGCAGTAGGAACTGAACTGCATATCATACAACTGGATCGCAGAAAATGTCCACAGAAGAGCCTAACTTAACAGGAAACTTTTACTTTGGGAGCTAAGGACTCGTGATGGCCCCCAAGATTGTCCGTGGTCTGAATCAAAACTTAATTGGGTGATCACACATTCAATTTGTTTCTTATTGAAAATTGTTCTCTTTGGTGGCTGGTAAATACTGTATATGAAGTAATGTAGTATGCTGCTGACACTGGCTAATACTGTAGTTTGGTAGTGAAGGTGAGTTTGAGGGGCACAATACCCAGACCATTCAATGTGGAAAGATCCTGCACAGATCTGTGAAAATCAAGCCTTGGATCTATAGTCATACCACCGCAGGAACGTTAGATACTCTGACAGTTGTCCTACAGAGTTTACCTTCTTCTGTGCGAGGTCTTCCCCTGAGGCAGCCAGGTCTCAAAGATGTAACCACTGGTGAAACGGTGGAAAAGTGAGGTTTCTATGAGGTGCACCCAGCACAGTGCCATTTAAACAGTCTTCGGTTTCACAAGCACACTTGCAGTCTCTTAGAGAACTCCTGCCTCCTTCAGCACAAAGGCAAGGGGACTTAATACATGCGCACAGTTATTTTATTTCACCTTCACCGTTTAATGCTCAAGGCCTCCTGCCATATCCATTGCATGCTACTTAAACCCTGTCCTGACGACAGAACTAATTTCCTCAGGAGATTTCCACCAGTGCTCAGTACTGTAACAGATGAATGCTTCACAACAATTTATTAATTTATTGTCACAATGCTCCTCTGCAGGGAGGAAGTCATTTTACCCCTGTTTTATGGATGTAGTGTTACCAGACATGAGATGAAGTCAAAACTAACCACCGCTGTTGGCTGTGCAAGTCCAAGCTTCCTACAGCCAGATATTGAAACCTCTAAGAACACTAAGTGTTAAGAGCACAGCTGACAGTCACCTCAGCTTAGCTTGGATGGATGCTCTGTAGCTAACACCAGGCTGTGCAGAGGAGGAGGAAAAATGCACAGTGAGACTCTGCAGGGGGTGACTTTAACGTTGCAATGGAATTTTACTGAGGCAGCCTTTACAGGGCTAAATCATGAGATCTCTCGCGCAAGCCCTTAAGCCACTGGATTCATTCACTTTTAAGTGCCTCAGCGAGTAAGAGGTGAGCCTGTATAAACCAGTCTTCTCTCATTCTAAAGGGAATGCTTCCTGCTGTTTACTCTTAATAACCCTAAACATCAAACTTCCAACCAAGGACCACCCATGCTTTATCAAATTCCAGGTAACTGTAAGTGCTCAAGCTCTCTAGCCTATGGTGTCAGTGGGGTCACAAACATGCCTAAGGTGTCTGAGGACATAGGTGTTCTTGGGTTTGCTGAGGACACAAGCATCACAGAATAGCTATTTCTGCTTGCAGGATCTTTTACCATTTGTAATGTTATCGGACTGTAACCATATGTGATTTTTGAAACAATGACTGATTCTCCAGAGCTGGCCATTAAAATCAGACAGAAAACTGAGCTTCAAATCAAAGTCCTCCTTTCATTACTGTGATGTGTCTTTTATAGATTTTCTGTCCATTTTTCATTATTCTCCTTTTAAAAAGCAAAAAGCTGGGTGGATTCCTGCAGGGGACGTGAATGCTGTTCCTTTCCTGGAAGTGGCTGCTTAGGATGAGAGGGAGGAGTTTGCACAGCTTGAAAAGTATGGCAAGGCAGAGAGTGAGGTGCACAGGAGAGACCTCAGATCCTGCAGATCACACTCGGAGGGAGTGGGTTCTGCATTAGGCCACAGAAGCCTAGAAAGAAAACCTGCTAAGGAACAGAGGGCAGG